GTTTGCGCATATCAGTTGGTTCTGTCATGTCCTGAGAGGATATCTTTGACTAATAATGATGACTGGTAAAATGGTTCCCAATGAAACGTTTTTGATTGGGTTAGCTGAGTTGGTAGAGAACGACAGGCATTTCCATCTTTTGCGTCGCCGTTAGGGAAAGGATGACACCTACGCTATTTTTGGCACTTAGCAGAGTTAATTAATTTGTTTACATGGCTTCAAGACAAATTAAAGCTATCTGTTCTTCAACGTAGCCCTTTGAGGGTCCACCGTTTTTACTAAAGTGATATACTTTACTTTAAGATACTTCGCTGGCGCCGGGCCGGGCCGGGCTGTTAATGAACATGCCACTATCAAAAAGCCAATGTCTTTGGGATGATTTCACACTGAGAGGGGGATCACAATCACAAGCATCTTAGCAAAATACGGCCATCCGGCAAAAAGGCCTTTTCAGTGCCATGAAATATCAAAAGAGTAAATGTTTCACTTAAGAATAAAGGGCGAGAAAGATGCTCGCACAGAATTTGCAAATTCCAGACGCTTACAAAACAACCTTTCCTTCTTAACGGTAAGTAAAAATAGGGGCGAGGAAAGGGATGGTTCGTGGAACCCCACAACTGTGTCGGATTGGAGGATTCAGTTGGCGGCCAACCAAACAAAGTTGGAGAAAAAGAGGCGAGGGCAATGGGAAGGAGGAAACGGTTATGAAGTATGAGAGAGCAGAGAGGAGACAGGGACGTAAAATGGAAGGAATAGGCAGAAAATGGCCGCACTAAGTCAGGCAAGATATCCTTTTGATGAACGTAACACGAAACCCTTCATTCATAAATGCATAAACCACGGGATTGTAGACGGCACTGGACTTGGCAAAGAACATGGCCACCTCGGCGGAGATGGGTGTCAGACAGTAGCGATAACCGCTAAGAGAGAGGAGAGCCAAGGTAGCGTAGGGCAGCCATGAAATGATGAAGATGGTAATGGTAATGGCGGAAACTTTGGCAGCGTGCAAGTCCACTCTCTTCCGTGCTCGAACTGTGTTCATTCAAGAAATATTAATGGTTAGTTGCTGTTAGTATTAAAATAAACTATCTGAAGTATGACGAATCGGCTGCTTTAACCATGGTGAAAATTAAAGTGTTTTATAATGAACATTCGCTCGCTGAGATTCCAATTTTACAGTCAAATTGCTGCGGACGCAGTAAGTCCTCTTAAGGTGCACGATTCTTTGTCAGTCTAGAACTTCAGTTCCGTCGAACGCAGGGGCTAATTTGACCACAAGGTTAAGGATGAGACCATCGATCAATATTGTCTTACAACATCTTTTCCTTGGTGCAGTTTTAAAGACTGTGTAAACAGCCAAATTTATCGGATCCATAAATGTCGTGAATATTAATCAGATGCTCCCTCTTGTTGAATAACGTGAGAAAAAATACAAAATGAATTCATATAGACAAATCGATACAAACAGCAAGATAATAGGAAATGGCCAAGAGGCTAATCAATAACGTAACAAAAGTTAAACCATGTGGGCAGCAGAACGGGGAAAAGCGTCTAAGGCAAAAAGTTGGGAAGGAAAATGTGTAAACAGGGAGCCGGTGGAACCACGGCCGAGTTAGTTTCACCACATGCTTCAGCTGTTTACAAGGGTCGAGTTATAACTGCCGTAGGTAGGCTGCCTCTCTGTAGCGTAAGGTACGAGCTGTTCGCACTCGAACAAGTACTCTGAAAGAAGTCTCGTGGTCCACAGAATGGCCCGTATCTGTCAGATATTCTGTAATCGATGAACGGGTAGTTCTGATTTCTTGTTTCCAGAACTAGCTAGGTACGTGCTTCTTGCCTCTGGCGGCCAATTTTCATTGAGTTCGCCCTATGTAATTGCATCCGCAAGTGCATGTAAATTCGTAAATGCAGGTTGAAGTGGCCTGCGACGACAAGGCATTCCTTGCACGAGAAAATTGGTA